CAAGAAACAAGATTTTCTGTGCTCTAATCCAGCCTCTGTCAATGGGAAAGAAGTTGCCTCATATCTCTTTGACTCATAGGACAGCTGCAAAGTTATGATTCTCTATGGGTTTAGAGATAAGAATAGGAATCAATATTGGGCTTCCAACCTCAATTCCTTATATTCTTCCTTCCCTATCCTACCTTCTAGACTTCTTGGTGTGTTGGTGGCATGAGGTCAGCAGACTGACAACCCATATGAAGACAGGAAAAGCTGTGAAAACACTCCTTACATAACAGGCCCAGCTTTCTCTGTCCCAAAATCCAAAATCTGCCATAGTCAATTTGGCTTCAATAAACAAGCTACCAGGCTATTCCAATCGTGATGTCTCTGGATCCTTTATTCCAGTCTCCTCCATCTCTAAGCCTGACCTGGTCCTCCCGGAGCTCAGCCATCTACTGTCTGTCCCATAGTAAGATTTAGCAGTTTCCTGTAGTTTATGTTATTTCTTATGTAGAGGTAAAGCAGACCATATCTATGTACATGCTAACAGCATGCAGAGTGGTGTCATAGAAAGAACACTTAATTTGGAGTCAGACGACCAGGTTCCAAGTTATAGTCCTGTTCTTTCTTGCCTGTGTGACTTCAGCGACAGGGGAGAAGTTCTTTTCCCCCACCCCAGACTTCAGTTTCCTCATTGCACAGCAGTTGGATGATCTCCAAGGTCATTTCCAACTCCAAGGCCTCTGTCTATTTCTCGCTCCTGAAAGAGGAAGGTTTTGTCTTTGTATTCTGGGATGATGCATACATCAATCCTAAGCAATTTGCCCCCAACCATCCACTTCTTTCTGACTGGCGAGGGATAGACCCCTGTCTACAAATTATCTGAGTGTCTCCTCAGATAATTCTCTCCAGCCAGAGTGCATGGGAGCCTGCCCTACACAAGACTAGATTGGGCAAGGTAGGCAAAAGTCGAGAGCTCCTGTGCAACTAAATAAATCACTGCATCTCTATTTAAAAATATGGTTCTGTTCCATTTCAATGTATTTTAAAGGTAAATGCTAATGTAAACATGGATTTTTCTAACGGATTTCTTTGAATGAAACACAATAATACAAAAACCAAAGGCATCTACAGTAATCTTATCCTAATGATGCTGGTTAAAACCTTTTGTGTAATTGCAGTTTGCAAAAACCTCTATTTTTAAAGAGCTAGAGCTAAGAAAAATAGTGGAGTTGAATGTACTTAAGAAAAATAACAGTCCTGGGGAACTCACCCAGTAAACAGGGAGTGTGCATGATTCATCAAAATCAATGAATGTAGTATGTTAACAGAGCAGTAATAAGCACAGAGTGGGTGGAGTTTTGCCTTAAGATGTTGAAATTAGAGGCATTCATAGCACTTATATTATTCTTTTCAGTAGGAAAAAAACTGAGCTTAATACCTAGATTTAGAGTGATTTTTTTCAGTCCAGATCTCTGATTTCACTGGTATAAGAAGCCATTGGTGAGGGATTTCCCCCTTCAGTCAGCCAACAGCACCTACAGCATGTCAGGCATTGTGCTAAGTGCTAAGGATTGTTTTGTTTTTAAAGCCAAAGCACAATTCTTGACCTCAAGGAGCTTACATTCTAGTGGAGAGGAGAAAACCCTTTAAGTAAAAAGGTACAAAAGAAGATATAGAGAGTAGATGGAGGGTAACTTCAGATAGGAAGTACTAGCAATGGGAATGGGGCAATGGGAAAGCCTCCCGCAGTAGGTGAGACTTAAGTCTTGAAGGAAACTAAAGAAGCTCAGAGGAGAGGAGGAATTGTATATCAGGCATGGATAACAGCCAGTGCAAAGGAACGAAGTTGGAAGATAGAATGGCATGGGAAAAAACAGCAAGTAAGCTGCTGTGGCTATACCATACAACGTAATGTGACTGAAATAGTAGGAAAGGGCCAGGTTGTGAAGGGTATTGAAGCAAAACAGAGCATTTTATATTAACCCCAGAGGTAATAGGGAGGCACTGGAGTTTATAAAGTATGGAAAGAACATGGGTCAGATCTGTAAAGAAAGATCACTCTGGCAACAGAATCGACTGTGGCAGGGGTGGGGAATTGAGGCCTGGAGGCCACATGTGGCCTTCTAGGTTTCAGGTGAGGCCTTTTGACTGAGTCCAAGTTTTACAGAACAAATTCTTTTATTAAGGGGATTTGTTCTGTGAAGTTTGGATTCAGTCAAAGAGCCGCACTTGAGGACTTAGAGAGCCACATGCGGCCTTGAGGCCACAGGCTCCCCCCCCTGGAGGATGTCCAATACAGATCAATGACTGTTCTGAAACTTGGGGTTTTAGAGACTTACTTGGGGCACTAAGAGTTTGAATGGTTTGCCCAGGGTCACACAACCAGTATGTATCAAAACCAGGACATGAACCCAGGTGGTCCTGATCCCATGGCCAGACTTCTATCCACCATGCCAAACTGCTTCTCAATACTTAATTAGCAAAAAAAATTCTTTGAAATGGGAAGTTACCATTATGGGCTCTTTCCTCCCTCCATTTTTGGTCCTTTTCAGCCACATCTCTTCTTCCTCCCACCCTTCCCAACCACCACAGAGTTGCTTGACCACTGAGTTTCTTTCACCAATTCAGGATTTGGGATTGATAACCCAGGGTCACTCCCCAGAGCAAACCTTGAGTCCTGAGATCTGATGTCTGTACCTAGGCCCCAGCCCACTTCTGTCCTTGCCCAGTGGGATTTGCCTTTAAAAGTTGAATGGAAAGCACCTTTTGATCTGCTTGTCCTGGGTTTGCTTTCCCCCAGCAAATCACAGCTATTTATTAAGCCACTGCTGTATGAAGAGGACAGAGGTGTGTATTAGTAAAAATACCAAGTTAAGAAGGGATTACTCCCCTCATCTTAAAGGGATGAGAGATATCGTGGATTTGTAACTCTACTGGCAGATGGGAAAGGCAAGAAGTAAAACAGAAGCACCAGCACCACTTTCATATGGTTAGAGGAAGGAAATATCACCGAGTTCTTGAATAATTAGGTTTCCAAAGCACTTTGCTGACAATCACCTTGTCAGCCTTGGCATTAAAAGTTTTCTTTCTGTTTCCTGATGACTAAATGAGGAAAACTATAGAGAAAATCTGATTTCTTCGAGAGCTGAGGATTTCACATGGAAAAGCCAACTGTGTACCCTTTTTTGGAGTAAGCAGAAAACAGGCAAAAGTCAGAATCTTTACAGTAGGACAAAGGCTAGCCAGAGCCTCTAACTTCAAATGCCAGCAGCTGGTATATAACCTCCTTTAGGAAAAAGAGAAAAGGAATTCGAAGGCATAGTCCACAGATCCTTCCTCTGGGATCACATGGACTAGGCCCATTCCTCGGGCCTGACCCAAAAATCTCAACATGACTTTGGCTCATTTTTGACCCCAGCTTGACTTTATTCTGGAGAAATCACTCAGTGTAGTTGTCTAGCTCATCGCATTGAGAACAAAATAATTTCCCTAATACTATACAAGCACAAGAGATAACAATAGTATCAAATATGGGATAATCTTTCCGAGAGTAACTTCAAATGTCAGTAACATGTAAGGCCCTGCAGGAAACCTAACTCTAACTCTTGAGAGGTTATGAGAAAGATGACCCGATTTCAAACTGATATTCATTAGAAGACACCTGCCAAGTACACGCCACAATATATTGGAGAGAACTGTAAAATATTCTTCTCAAAATGTAGTAGCCGTGTCTGAACTCAACACTCCAAGGAAGAGTCCAGTGGGACCATCATTAAGCTCACTACTTCTTTCCCAACAGAGCCAAGATCACATTAGCTTTCTTGGCATCCACTACACACAGTGGATTCATATTGAACTTTCAGTCCAATAAACCCTCAGATACATTTAAATGACTTTCTTGTGAAGTCTATTTTTTGAAGCCAAGTATAAGAACGTATGTTTACTCTTCATTTAATTTAATCTTCAGAGATTTGAACCGATATTCTAGCCATTTACTATAAAATCTCTTCAATATAGTAGATATCCTTCCTAGGATACCTTTTTGTTTTATTTGTAAATATGATTAGCACATCCATGAAAATGATCAAAATGTTAAATAGCATTTGTCCAAGGGGAGATGACTTGAGGAATTCACCAAACAGCTCCCTCCATGCTCAGATCAACCCATTAATTACTGTGCTTTATGTTCCATTATAGAACAAATTCCAGAGCCACTCAATCACATTTTAGTCTAACCCAAATCTTTATACAAGGATAACATAAGAGTCTTTGTGAATTGTTTACAGACACTCAAGTAAATAATATTTACAGCGTTGACCTGAATAACCAATCTAATAGTGCTGTGGACAATGACAGTGTACTCAGTCTGACACCACCTATTCTTGATGAAATCACGTTGCCTCTGCCATTTCTGTCTGGATAGTCATGTTGACAACGAATGACAGTCAAGGAACATATTTTGCAAACTCTATTCTTTTACATTCTTCTTAAAATCAGGACAATATGTTCTCATTTCTATTCCCCTAACATCTCTTTCATTCTCGTGATTTTTATTTTTATTTTTAAATAGATTTTATCGATGTCTTTGTCTTTACATTAGAGTCAGGGAGCCTGTTCATGTTCCTTCTGCACCTCTCACAGTACCTCATAAAGTGTTAATATATAAAGTGTAGTGAAAAGAGCGAAGGATTTGGAGTCAAGGAGCCTCAGTTTCTAAGTCTGTAAAATAGGGGTAGAATTATTTATTACTACCTCCTTCACAAAGGAATAAGTTATTATTACTATTATGTGGAAAATATGTTCAATCGATGGAAAGCTATCTCCTGAGCACAAATCTGATATCCCCCTCCCCCAACTCTTTACCCTTTGGTCTGGGGTGGTTTACTTATTTTCATCTAATAGGTAAAGAAAAGATGGAATTTTATTGGGAAACTGGGTCAGGAAGTCAAAATCTTCTGTGTTTCTTGCCAGGTGACTTTGAATCAAATAACACATCTGCCTAAGACATCTGAGGAATGATTTCTCACAATGAAGTCTTGGGGATTGTCTATCTGAACCTGATAGTACTTGGAATCATGGGGAACTCTTTCTTCCTTTACCTGTATGGCCATAAATCCATCACTAGTCATAGGACAAGACCTATAAATATGATTGTCATCCACATGGCCTTTTCCAATGCCATGCTGATTCTCTTTGGAGGAGTCCCCAAGATAATGCAGGTCTGGGTGTTGAAATCTTTCCTAGATTGTAACGAGGTTAGAATTCTAAATTACCTGATGCAAGCAGCCCAGGGACTTTCCCTCTGTAGCTCTTGCCTCCTCAGTGTCTCCCAGGCCATCTCCATCAGTCCCTATAGTCCCATGTGGGCAGGGCTCAAGGCTAGAGCCCCAAAATGTACCCTCCCCTGCTGTCTCCTCTGCTGGGTTCTCAATCTACTGATAGCCATCATCATTCCTGTATGTGTGACCTGCCCAAGAAACAGCAGAAAGAGAGGTGGACTATTTGGTCCAGCTCTCTGAAGTTGCATGCCATAAATACTATGAAAATTGCAATCTGGAAGTCTGTTTATGACAGTGTGTTTGTGGGTCTCATGGCCATTACCAGTGGCTACATGGTGCTTGTCCTGTGCAGACACCATCATCGGGTCCAGCACATTCACAGAGCCAACATGTCCCCCAGGGCCTCCCCAGAGACCAGGGCCACCAAAGCCATCCCATTCCTGATGATCTTCTTTGTCTGCTTTACCTCAATCAGCTCCCCTTTTAGTGTTCATATGGTATATTCTGAAGAAACTAAGCATTGGGTGATAAATGGCATAATCATTCTGTCCCTGTGTTATCCTGCAGTAAGCCCCTTTATACTGCTCAGCAGTGACACTCAGATCACCCGGGCCTGTTATGGTCTCTGATGGATACAAAGCTCCTGTTTCCCTTCTCTTCCCCTGACCCTCCATCAAGTAACTCTGAGACTTCCAATAATGGGTGGAAAGGAGCTGGCCCTTCTCCAACTCGGCATCATAGCATCTTTCCCCACATGTCAGCTGGTACAGGGGAATTCGACCAGGGGAGCGTCACCTGGGCCCCTGACTACCTTTTCTTCTTTCCTGATTGAATGACCATCTATCCTGTGATGAACAGGTCCAGGCTGGAAGGTGACCCTGCTAAGAGGTCCAGATGCCCTGTGTCCCTTTGGTCAAAGCTGAATGACGGTAAGGGGGAAGCCCCCAGCAACAACTCCACTGCTCTTGGATAGGATGGCTACCAAGAAAAGGACCATCTCCAAATCAGCCACTTTACCAACAGTTAACCAAGAGCTGCTTGAATAATGCTGAGCTGAAGTGAAATGTAAAATGCCTAAACTGCGATGTCAAACACTGCTTTATATTTAGATGCTTTTAAGTATCATTCTCCTAGCCCACCACTACTTAGTTAATGTCTTAGTGTCAATATGCCCTTTTGTTTTTCAGCATTTCTTTTCCATATAGGAAATAAATGTCTGACCCATACCTGATTCTTATTGTTTATTGAGCACCTTTCTACTCCTCCTTCTTGGGGAAATCCAAAAGGTGATCCTAATCCTAAACCAGGTATAGGGAACCTGCAGCCTCAAGGCCACATGCAGCCTTCTAGGTCCTTGAGGGCAGCCTTTTGACTGTGTCCAAGTTTTACAGATCAAATCCTTTTATTAAGGTGATTTGATCTGTGAAGGTTGGATTCAGTCAAAGGGCTGCACTTCAGGACCTAGACGGTCCTGTGACCTTAACCATATGTACATCTTCCCTAGAGTGCAAGGGGGGAGGGGCCATTAACAAGTAGAGAAGTGTGAAAAGATCACCTAGCTCTCCTTGTGTTAAAGGACAGGCTGCCCCATGACTGAACATGGCTAAATTGAACGTATTGATCCAGAGCCAAGGGTCTCCTAGGAAAAGGGAGTGGGTGCAGTACCTCAAGCCCTGTGGGATCAGTAGTCCATTGTTAAACAAGAAAGGAATCCATTTTGAATCAAGGAGATCCTGCTGAGTGGCTATCCTCTTAGTCCAATCAACATGACTTTTGAGGGACTGCTCAGTCTTTGAGACTAGCGTTCTAACTAAAGCCAGGAGGAAAGTTAATCCATTGTGCTTCTCCTAATCATTCCAATCACCTATATCCAATTCACGCTTTATGTCAGCTGTCAATAACGATATTCCCAAGGAAGATTGACACAGGCACGTCCTTAACAAATATTTGTGTTCTTCAGTATTTGAGGATGCCTCTTCATTCCCTCCCCTCAACATGACTTACCAGAGAACCAAAGCCACTGTAGATAGGAAATCTTCTCCTTGGTCATCAGTGCTGAGCTAACTATAGCATTACCATACGGGGTTAATGAAAGAAACACATGAGGCATCATATGTATTTTGTGCATGTTGAGAGACTACACACACACCAGTTGTTACTATCTTTTTCAAAGCTCATCTTTGAGCAGCAAAACAACATACTCTGAACCTTCTAAAGGACTCAAATTATAGCTTCTCAACTCAACTCGTTGAAAAATTCTCTCCACGGAAGTTTTGCTGCCAGCATCGGAGTTGGAAGCTGATGAATGCCATGAATGTGTGTGACAAAAGGAAGCTATGTGCACATGATTTGAAATTTATTGGTTTACTTATTTCACGCCTGAAAACTTTGATTCAGTTCAATAACAAACATTGTATAGTAGGCACTGGTGACCCAAAGACCCACAACAGTTTCTGCCCTCATGCAGTTTATATTCAACTTGGCTTACTTCAGCCAGGAAAAATAGTCAATTTGATGACCCAATTCAGTCCTTTCACAGAAAGTGGCAGATCCAATAACCCCAGTAAGAACCTAAAAAAAATCATGGGTCCCTGAGTCCCTCTTGCTCCAGAAGGCTCAGTAAGGGAGGAAGGCACTTTGATCCACCTAGTGACCAGAGAAACATCCCTTTTAAAGATCTACTTCCTGTTTGGCTCACCTTTATCTGGAACATAAGGGCTGGTCAATTAATGAACTGAACTAGGGAGGCAGGGAAGGCACTTCTGCATCAATCCCCTCAAAGTTGAGCTATAGAATGAACAAGTGAATGAATGAATGAAATAGCATCTATTAAGCACTTACTGTGTGCAAAGCATTGTGCTAAGCATTAAGAAAAAACTAAAAGGCCAGACGGAGTTTAGAAGCTCTGTCCATGATCATCCCCACCTGGTGTCTGGGGAAATAAACGGTGAGCCCATCCCAAACAATAGGAAACATCGAACCACACTGTGGAATTAGTCCTGAGCACAGTGCTTTCCACGGTGTAATTGAATGAATGCTTGATGGCTTGACATCTGAGGCTGCAGAGCTGAGGATTTAACCTTACCTAAGGTGAACCAGCCAGGTGCTGGCAATTTAAAAGGCCCAGACTATGCAGCCAACATGGCTCATTCTCTTATCTGGCATGTAAGGACTGGCTGATTAATGTGCTGAACTCTGTAAGAGAGTGGGAAAACACATCAGCATCCTTAGTCCCAGGAAAATAGGAATGGATGGATGGATGGATGGATGGATGGATGGATGGATGACTGAATGAATGAATGAAAACCTTGGATAAACACTATGTGCTAAGCACCAGAAATATAAATAAAAAAGCAAGCCAGATTTTGGAACCTATACCCATGATCACTGCCCCTATTTAGCTCAGAGAGATAAGCATTGAACCCATATTGAGCAATGTGAATTAGCAACCTGTGGAAGTACAAGTAAGGATACAACAGACAGAAGGGTAACCAGGGGACCCAAGTGGGCTTTACAGAGAGGAAACCTTGGAGATAACTGGGCTTGAGCAGATCAGCCAGAATCCCAGGATAACCAGACAGGGGCACTTACTAAGTCCCAGGAATTCCTGCTTCCCCACCTCTCCACTGGTGACTGACCTTTGCTTCCCCATGTGTCTCATCAAGCTCTCTTGGCCAATCATGGAGGCACCTGTGGAAATTCTAATTAATCAACCTGATTGTTCAGCATTTGCACCTCATGAAAAGTTTGTTCTCCAGACAATTCCAAATTATCTCTATATACAGAGTACTTTTTTGAACAGGTGACATGATAATCATAGCTATGGGGGAGGGAGGAAATGAGCTCAGACTCAGCTGCCTGAGAGAGAGGGAGAGAGAGACAGAGAGACAGAGAGAGACAGAGACAGAACAGAGAGACAGAGATAGAGAGAGAGAGAGAGATTGCCACAGCTCAACCCTCAGTTCTAGGGTAGAGACCAAAGTGGTAAGTGACATATATTAGCTTCTGAGAGAAAAACCGAGTACTAAGTGTCTTCTGGAAGATGATTAAGCCTCTGCATTTTTCACTGCTGCAATGGAACAGGACCTTGGGAATGATGGGGGCAGTGAGTTGGGCTGGGATCTTGGCTAGGTGACTGCTGCTGAAGCCTTCTTGCTGTGAGCCCACCCACAATGAATTATGGGAATAAGTGAAAGAGTCAAAGCCACATGGTGAGGGATAGGGATGGAGAGCTAGGTTTCCAGGGATTCTGCCCTAACAGCAGCCTCAGGAACATAGGAACATGCAGGGTCCTACTGCACAGAGGTAAAATGACTTGCCCAGGGTCACACAATCCAGATGTATCAGATGAAGGACTTGAACCCGTCTTCCTGAGTTTGCAGCCAGCTTTCTATCCACAATACCTTGTTGCTTCCTACCTGGGCTATAATAGTTACTTCCCACGTGACTTTAAACAAACTCTTCCCACTCTTTTGGCCTCAAATTCCTAATTTTAAAAAATACAGTGTTTGGCCAGGTAATTTCTCAGGTCTCTCCCACGTCTAAAGTCTATGTCTAGATCACCCCCTGAGAGAATGGACTCTGGGCTTTTGTTCCTTCAGCGGTACACAGTGATTCAGAGGAACTGATCATACCCCCCCAATGCCCTGCCAAGTTAACCCATAAGCCATGTAGGCCAAGCATCTGAGTGTCAATCATCTTGAAGTGACGTAATGGATAGAACACTGCGCCTAGAGTCAGAGGATCTCGATTCAAATCCAGGTTCAGAAACTTACTAGCTGTTCAACCCTGGGCAAGTCATTTAACCTTTGTCTGTCTCAGTTTCCTCAACTGTAAAATGGAAATAAGAACAGGGATAACCACAGGGAATAACCCTCCCAGAGTTGTTGTATCAAATAACGTGATATTTGTAAAGTGCTTAGCACAGTGTCTTGCACATAATAAAACCCCAATAAATGCTTATTTCTCTTTTCACTGCTTTTTGAGTCCCAGGTATACATAGATTGCCAGCTTTCCTATCCACACAGAAGATCCTGGAGGAAACAGGCAGTTTCCTCCTGCCTGTTATGTATTTCTTTGCATCTGATTCCCTCTTTATGCAATTGTTCGGTGACAACAAATTTAAACACCTGTTGTAGCAAGAGAATGGAAAGTGTCCTAAGAGAGTGGAAGATCACTATGGGGGTAGAGACTCTAGGTCAGATATAGATAGCCGATTTCATATTTTAAAATTTTGAGCAATACTCCCCTTCATCTCCTATGCTAAATCAAAGCTGTCCAGGCAGGGGTTATCGCCAAAGCTGATTTTGCCCAAGCTAATCTCCGACTGGCCTTGGGCTACAGTGGGAACCGCAAGAAGGAAAAAGCAGCTTAAAAAGTTGCAGGCTTTACCGCCATCTCGTGTCCATTTTGAAAACTGCAGCATATTAGAGAGTACCTGTTCTATGTATATTTCAGGGAGGCAGAGCAAGGGCTGCTGTCTCAAATAGTACACCACCTAGCTGCTGATTTCAGATATTCTGTTCAGCTGAACAAAAACTCAGTAATTAGCACCTTGTCAGGGTGTCTTCCCATATGTTTAAAGAAGATAGCAAGCCAAGAAAGGTGTCAGCTTGGTCATGTAAGATGT